AAAAATAACAAAAGGCTCTACATTGATTCTAATGTGTTCTATTATTCCTTTCCATCAAAGAAACCAAAAAGGACACTCCGGGGCAATTTTTTCAAACAACTTCTGATTTTCCTTAAATTGCCAACCAAATAAGACCTCAAGGAATTAAATTTAAAAAAATAAAGGAAATAAAGATAATCAGACAACTTGTTGGTTTTAGCCGTAAAGGAAGACATTAAAAGCAAAGCATGGAGGGCACCTCTCCCAAGAACTCTTGACCCCTCAAAAGATCCTCTAAAAATTCTCCAGCTTCTCTCATACCAGATATTCCACAAAACAGCCCAATAAAAGCACTTCATAAAAACCTTCTATTATCCCAAAAGGGCATATAAAGTGCTGGTATCTCCAGGACATCACTAAATCATTCCAAACTTGCGGCACAAAAAAGAGCAACTGAAGCAAGCAAATACACGAGTACGAACTTATACAGACACACATTTGCCACTGTGCATAAGAAACAACTACGTCACAACAGCACAGATATTTGCAAGTAGAAATCACATTCCACACCTAGAGACTTAAATTTATTCATAGTTTCAAGGATTTCGAGAAGAAAATCATATTTTACCAATAGTCCTTTCGAAAACTGCAATTTGGAAGTTAAATACAAAATTGAGACCTAAAAGAACGGTATTTTTCTCTTGGGTAACTTCCAGACCATTTTGAATATATTAGCATTACATGCTACATGTTGCACTAGGAAACATAAAGTTTCTAAATTAGTATCATAAAAATACCTTATAAATAAGATCATACCTCCATTATTTTGAGCCTCGGCTACTTTTAAATTTAATTCTGCAAGAGACTTTAAACAGAATGACAAGAGATATATGCACTATTTCAGTAAGGAACTTGAGAAAAAATTTAAGAACATAAATGCTACATTAATTGGCAGAAAAATTAATTATAAACAACCTCCCGAAGAGCACTTTTGCGGTCTTCAATTGGAAATACATCCACTAAACCATATGATGTCTCACATAAAGAGTGAACAAAGTCCAACGACTCGTGATAAGCTCCTTTTCTGAATTGAGATGCAGTATTTGGAAGTGGAGGCTTCACATTTGACTTATCATTTCGCTGCCTCGGGGAACCCGGATGCTTCTAGAAAGTTATGGGCATGATTCAAATTAGGGTGCCAAAAAGTTGTAGCATAGAGATAGGAAACTGATACAATTCAACCGTAGGTGTTCGCATATTGCATTATTCTGTCCCCTTAATGCTCTGTCTTACGGGAATGTTTAGGAAATTCAGGACTGTTTTCTTTTCTTTAAAGTTCCTCTTTGTTCTATTAGCCTAAGTTCCTCCACAGTTACTCCTTTTGTTCTATCCTCCCAGTTACTCCTTTTGTTCTATTATTGCCAATTTGGAGTTTTTTTTAAGCTCCCTGGTGGTTTTGATCATCTTCTTGTAATTTCATTATCAAAAAGATTGTTTCTTATCAAACAAAAATGAGCATCATTATTTCTTTCTAAAAAGGTAATTAGACCAATAGTAAACATACCTCCTTGTGCTTCTTTAATCCTAAAAGCTCTGATTCTTCAATCGAACGCTCCCGATCTCGAAACAACTTGCGAAAAAAATTTTCAGTACCTCGACTACTTTCAGGCAGGCTATCTATGTTGCTGTTATCATTTAATTCAATACTTTTTGCCTCCTCAGGATGCACCCGAAACAATCTGCGAAATAATGAGAAATCTGAAGGCTCTTCTTCCTCCCCATTCCCATTGGCATCTTCAAACTTATCAATGATATCATTTTTGTCCTCAAATTTATCCCTAAAAAATTTACGAAAAAACCCCTCCTTTTCATCATCTTCCCTGGATTTAGAACATTTTTCTTCGGGGTTAATATCATCTTCATTTCCGTCATTACCATCTCGCTTATCTTCAAACTTATCCTTGAAAATTTTTCGAAAAAATCCTTCCTTCTCATCATCCTCCCCAGACTTGGAAGCTACTTTATCCACAGAGTCATTCTTGCTATCACGAAACAACTTCTTGAAAAAGCCATCTGAGCTTGAAGTCACATCCTCATCTTCTCCTCTGTTATCCTTCATAAACCTCTTGAAAAAGCCATCTGAGCTTGAATTCACATCCTCATCTTCTCCTCTGTTATCCTTCAGAAACCTCTTGAAAAAGCTATCTCTATCAGAGTCATCGTCATCTTTTTCTGATGACTTCCTGAAGAGCAGAGTATCCCGAATCTTAGAACTTGAGTCATCATCACTTCTACTGTCCCTTAAAAGCCTCTTGAAAAACCCATCCTTTTCAGTATCATCGTCATCTTTATCTGCCGACTTCCTAAATAAAAATGCATCTCTGACCTTCGGGCTCGGGATAAATTTCTTAAAGATATTGTTCTCATCCGGTGATGATTGACTGGCATCTTCTTGCCAATTGTTCCCTGATGAAGGTGAGAATGACAAGGACCTCCGGTCAGGCGGAGAAGATACAAGGGACAATAACTGCTGTTTTGATGATAATAGTTTATTTAAAACCTGGTTCTTGCTCCCAGGGGTTGTCGATTCTCCTTGAGGTCGCACAAGAGGCGGCCATTCACCCATCAAGGTCGCTGCAATCTGACACTTCTCTTGAATCCTACTTATCCCATCATTATCATCAGAGTCATCAAGCTCAGCAGCTAAAAGCCAATGCACCTTCAAAGCTATCTGAAGCGACTTCGAGCACATATCAATTACAAATTTATCCAAGGAAGGGCTAGGCTTGTGCACCATCATGTAGCATATTTGAAACAAATAGCTCTCCAGCCCTGATAGAGGCAGCGTATACATTCGGTTACAGAGGTAATCACGTACCCCCGAGTGTTCATGCTTGTAGAGATAGCTAACAGCAATCCACTCACAGAAAAATGCCGAGTCAAAGAACCGAATGAGCCAACCACTCTCGCCATTCTCGCTCGTCGTTGTGGCCCTGGAGGCGATCTCTCGAGGTGACTCATAAGAGTCTCCACGAGTGAGTCCCAGAAACCTCACCATTCTCACTCGATCATTATAAACCCAAAAAACAACTCACACAGAACCAGAAACCCCCAATCTACTCAGAATTCAGATCACCGCAAGAAGCAAACTATTCGTTCGTCACGAGTCCTACTCAAAACCTCCACAGAAAACCTATATCCCCCAAAACAACTGAGTTCAGAGTCCGGAATAACTAAATTCCAACGCCCACACTGAATCACATTCGCCAACCAGAATCTCAATTCCCAATAAAGGAACGACGGGGAGGCGATTCCTTGAGACCCCGCG